TTTTTTAAGCTTTAATCCGACCAATTCAGCCGATTCCCGATCCAGATCGGTTTTTGAGGTACCCTATCCGGTTCACCGATCTGCTTTTTAAATCATTGGGCGCACCTATACAAAATATTAAAATAATTTTTCAATAAAATATAATGACCAAAATACCCCTTAATTTTTAGGGGTATTTTGGTCATTTTATTTTATTGAAAATATTTTTTTATATTTTTGCTAGTGCGAATTTAATAGAGGAATAGACATCCAAAATTTGGTGTCAAAATAATTTAAAGAAAAAAATAAAAAATAAAATAGCGTAGAGATGTGACATTACAATTGGGGCAATCTTAGCCCTCCATTCAGAATGGACGGTTGGATAAAGGGGAGGATACTACTTCTATGATGTAGGGAAAGCATAGAAAGGTTGCCCTGTAGAAATAACTCCATGTACTAAAATATTTGATATAACTTTCATTAATATAGTGGATGTAGCTCTTTTGGAGTAAACCACGTAAATCTTTGCGTTCTTGTGGTATGTGGTTTTTTTATTATTTCTCAAACTTTTTTTGCCAAAAATCAACCCATCGGGTTTAGAGCTTCCGAGCACAACAATGTCTTCACAGTTTTAAGACTACCATGGATGTTATTTTGGTAAAAAAATACAAAAATTAAAGAAAAGTTTGAAAAGTTTTGGGTTTATTATCAATAATCCAAAAATGAAAGTATATTTTTGATAATTTTCCTTAATTAATATGACATCTCAAATTGCATAATAACACTAAAAAAAACAAACTTTCTTAAAAGAAAATTACTCAGAAATCTCCCATTGTAGCACCTTTCAAAAAATTTATGTAATTTTAGTTTCTTATAAAGTAGAATGACAACTAAATTCATGTAGCCGACCCCAATCAGTTGGAAAAAACTTCAACGATGATGCTATAGCTTGGCTAAGTCCATTCGGACTCGCCGAATTACTTGCCTTGGCTCTTTGATATTTAATTTTAACCGTTGAGAATATTTGTTTTGACGCTCCTGTGGTAGTAATTTCGTCATGAAAGGATGAGAGTTTTAAACCACTTGAGATTTTACCATAAATCCATAATATTTGCAAATTCGTTGTTTGATATATGGTACTCGAAACTTTGTTTAATTTTTTGTGGAGATCTTTTAGAGTTATGTGTACATTACTTTTTCATGTAATGATTTGCTAAATTAGGCTTTTTGAATGAACCCATTCGAGTAGTGAACCTCTACGGTGATTTACTGATTTGGATTTTGGTTTATGACAATTTGTTGAGGAAGAACATAGTATATGACTGTTTAATTTTGGTAAGAATCATTGATTGCCATTAAATTTGAAATCGAGTCGCTAGGTTGTTCCATTAGCCAAGCTTAAAGAATTAAATAACAACGTTTACAATTCGGTGACATACTCAAGGTGTTGGATTTGACGTCTGGTGGCTAAAAAAAATTGTGACTTTCTTGTGCCAAATATAAATGGTCTTATAGTATACAATACTGTTTGTTGATAATGTCATTCGCTGAAAATGGGTTTTCCGAATGAACTCTTGCATTAAATAAATATAAATGATCCTAATGCTAATCATATATACAATGCAAATGTTATAATTTTGGGTAGAAAAGAAATGGAAAACTATTTCTCCATTGTTTACAATTTTGAAATTCTTAGTTGCTGTAAATTGCAATTTATTATGCAGACTATAATTTGATGCTTGATTTTATTATGTGGTGTCATCATTTATTTGTTTATTTGTGATTTGATTTGTTAAAATAGTGTAATGGGTATTGTCTGATTGTTACATTGGATAAATTATACGACCTAAAAGATTCAAATTAGGCTGCTTTATTTTGACTTCCTTTTAATTTATTAGTTATTTCATTTTTTATTTTTTTTGGATGCTAATGAGCTCTTTCATTTTTTGTTAACATGATTTAATAGATTAATCAGTCATCTATTGTTAAGTATAAACTAGAGATTAGTCGGTCATTGAACATGTGGTTCTTCTACACATATATTTTGTATTTAATGGATTACGGAGTCAGATGAATGGTGGATCGAGATTCATGTAGCTGACCCCAATTAGTTGGGAAAAGACTTTGACGATGATGATGATGGATTACGCAGTCATGTACTAAATTAGAAACTTCATCCTTCTCTTGATTGTGCAACATATATACCTCGTCTTTTGTTATGTATGTATCGTATTGCAACTGAATGAAGTTACTCGACAGAAATTAAAGTAAAATAAAATCAACATATGCCTGCCTTGATGATGCAAGTTTTAACAAACACCAGTTTCCTTAATGTTTAGCTCTGCAAGTTTGATTACAGTATAATGTCTTTAAGTTTTGGTAGGCTTCAGTTGATGAGAAGCTACGCTCGAACATAACTCAATTCAGTGGAGGAGAGAGTAAAGTTCTTGAGAGGAGCTGGGTTTCAGGGGACAAGATAAGAGCAATTATAGCATAACTATAATTAGAGGAGGAGAGCACAAAGCTCTTGAGAGGAGCTGGGTTTCTCAGACGAGATGATGAAATTGTTATGAAAGCACCGAGAAATGCAAGACCAGATGACAACACATGAGTTGAGGACACTGAAGAAATCGAATGTGAGGTCAATTCTCAAAGCAGAGTAGACCAAGATTATGAAGACACCTCAGGTAAACCATTACAGCACATATGTAAGCTACTAATTAGAGATGTTAATCATGTTCGAGATTCATTTGTGTGCGTGTGTTTCTGGTGTAGGTTTGGTACTAGGACCTTTCTCTCACGCCACCTCCACCACTGACATGAAAACAGAAAAGCGCCTCCTGTTTATTTCCTTTTCTGGCATTTGGTAGCTCTTTTTGATGAAAATGTTCGAGATTGATATTTCATCTTCTAACTTTTACTATATGATTTATGAAGAAAATACTTATCTAAAAAAAGCCACCGGAGAGAAAGATCATGTATGTTGCTGATCTGGGTGGAGGTGAATTGGGAGTCACTTTGCAGCAACAAGCATAGGATATTAATATCCATTGATGTACAACTACACAAATCATGTTAAAGTTATTGGGACCGTTCATTTCATAGAAAAGCAAACATAAAACATTTCAATTATGGAGCAAACGACTAGAGCGAAGGCCCTCACTAAAGTCACTTGGCAACCATAACTTTGAGAGAGAGATCATGAATGTTGCTGATGTGGGTGGAGATGAATTGGGAGTCCATTTGCAGCAACAGGCATGGGATCCATGCGTATCTTCTCATCTGGGAAAACCAATTCCCACTTATAATTCTTCACCAAATTGTGCAAGAACACTAGCATCCCCACTCTTGCAAATTCAATCCCAGGGCACATGCGTGGTCCCCCACCGAAAGGCACAAATGTAAACGGGGTGGGACCCTCCCCCTCAAAGCGAGAGGGATCGAATTTTTCGGGCTCTGGAAAATACTCTGCCATCGTATGTGTAGTATACGCACTCCAATGGAGCTGCATCCACATTAACAAAGCTCATTTCACAATTGCCAAAAAAGATAGGTGTATAATGTGGGGTAAGTGTATAATGTGGTCTCATTGGAGTACAATATGTGTGTTCTCTGGGCAGTTTCTTTTGAGATAGTTCTTATGGGGATTTTTGGACTTTTTACAACACGAAGTAATATTAGACAAACATGAAAAGAGTAGAATTACAGGAGAAAAATTTGTATTCTCTTTGATTGTTTTTGTTTTGATATTTTGCATTAAAAAATTCAAGAAAGCAGAAATGCTGTTTAGACTTTTGAGAAAGGTTACAGGACATTTAGTTGGGGTGGCAGAATTGTTGTCCCGGTTTTGTCATTTTTAATTTGTTTTTGATGAATATAGGGTCCTATTTTCATAACCATCAAGGAAAAAAGAGAAAAAAAAAAACAGAAAAGAAGAAGAAGAGAGGCTTGATTGATTTACCATCCAGCCCTTAGGTATGTGGAAGCCAGCAAAGTTGAAGTCAGTTATGGCGTATCTGAAAGTTCCTGAGACTGCAGGTGCGACTCTCATCACTTCACACACCACATTCCATGTGTATTTCATCTTTTTGATGTCTTCCCAATTCAGTAGTTCTTCTTTGTTCTTGGACTGGGCAATTTCCCTTTGCTCTGAAAAAATTACAAAATAGAATCAAAGGTTGTCAACTTAGAGCATATTCAAAAAAATAAGGCTCGAGTTTGGGACTCAGCAGGTCTTGTGTCTGATTGGTCTTTAAAGACTCGGCAGAGTCTGACAAAGACTGAGCCGAGTCTGTACAAGTGATTGTACTGAAATATAGGAACCCTTTGAGATTGGCAGGTTCCTTTTGAGACTCATCACTCTGTCATGTCCAAGCAACTCGGGTGAGTCCGAGTGCACTCACTCGAGTTTTAGAGCTATGCTAAGAAACAATTAACCTAAGTCACCACAAGATAACATAAGGAGTGTGGAATGGAAATGAGGCACAAACGATTGAAAAGCCTGATTAAAAGGAAACCAATTTCTGTTTTCAACACAAAATACAGTAGAGGCAACATTTTCCTGGGTGCCAACATTGCACAACTCATCATACACACACACACACAGAAAGAAAGAGTACCTTTGAGGATCTCGTTGTAACAGTAAGGCTCCTCTGCCAAATACTTCAATACCATCAGCAGTGTCGAACTGCTCGTATCATGGCCACCAAAGAGAAGGAGCAAGATATTGTCCACCACTTCTGTATCGCTCATATAACCACCACGGTCATCAGCAGTGGTGAGTAGATACGACAATAGGTCTTGCTTCGGGGTTGCTCTTCCATCCTTCAAGGCCTCTTTTCTTTCCTCCATCTCCTTCCTCAGCTCTCTTTTTAGCGCGTCAGCTGCCTTTTTAGCCCTATAATGGCTTGTTCCAGGGATTTTCAGGTCCAACTTCAGTAGTCCCCTCAGCAAAACAATGAAAAGTGCAGAAAGCTCGGCCCTACGCTCCTCACTCTCAATACTAGCAAACAGGCTACAGGCTAACGAGAATGCGTAAGCTTTAAGCATATCAAATGTCTTCACCTCCGATTTCCCATACCAGTGTGTTCTTAAGTGTTTTTGAGCTACAATATCCGTTCGACTGACAAACTTTTGGAAGTCCTCCGGCCTCAAGAAAGCCATTAGGAGTTTACGTATCCGTTTGGCATCGTCCCCTGCCCTGGTGCTCAATGAAGTGCCAAATATCCTCGCAACGGAGGGTGGCCATGAGTTCACGAGTACTCGGTTCTCATTTGAGAACACAAATTTATTGCCCGTGGGTCCGCAAAATACCACAAGTGGCTTGCCAAGGAAATGTGTCTTGAAGACCTCAGTTCCATATTTTCGAGTCCTCTCTTTGATGAAACCTTCATTGCCTTCGGAGCCCAAGGCGCCAGAAAATTGGAGGGTCTCCCCTATGAGGGGCCATCCCATGGTTCCTGGAGGAAGTTTAAGGCCCTTTTGGTGATGCCGGCTGCTCCACCACCGGCACACCACCACCAAAGTGACAAAGCCAATCACAAGCACCCAAAGAAACATCATCACTCCCTGCTCCATTACTGGTTCAACTTCAAAACCCACGCCTATAACGGTTTAAACTTTAAAAGCATATCTATCAAGAGAATCCTTAACCATGTGTATGTAGACATATGTGCTAGGGGAATTATTTTGATTGATCTGATGTGGGTTGGGTGATTATGGAGTTGTACCAGTGCAGAGATGCAATAGAAATATAAAGAGGAGGGGGAATCCCCCTTCCCCTGCCAAAATTTGTACTCTATGGGTTAGTTTTTGGTTGTATCTATTTGGCAGGTTGCAATCAGGTTGATCAGGTTGGGTTCAATCCCCGACTTGACGGGTGGACTCGATCACCCGACCATTGTCTGGGTCTGCAGTCTGCACCCATATATGGGACACCCACCACGAATATTGGACCCACTAGGTCAGGTCCAAGCCAGTGTCGACCCGATATATAATTTTTTATCTTTACTTGAACCCTACTTGACTCAATCCATCATGTCCCGAGACAAAAAACTTGGACCAGACCCGGGTTGGGTGATCCAACTAGAGGCCAGGTGGGTCAGGCTCGGGCCGACCCCACCGTACCAATTCAAGGTGGACTTTTGAGATAAGCAACCTGGTGGCTGGTGCAATTAATAACAAAAAAAAAAAACATATGGGATAAAACCTGCCTTGTGCAATTTAATAAGAGAAGATATATAAAGTAATCTGATATTTTATTCGTCCTCCAAGCGTTGAATTTGTGATATTGACACAGAAAGCATCTACTACTAAAAATAAAAATAGCGTATTCTTCGAAATTTTCCTTTTGTTTAGATGTACGAGAAATAATTTATATCTATAATTATTTTAAATTTAAAAGATGGTTCAAATTAAGCAGATCTACAAACTTATGAAAAGCTTTAAAATAGACCGTCCAAATAATGTATTGCAAGATGCGGCATTTTTAAATTTTATGTCTCGACAAATGATCAATTTAGATGAAAAGGATTTAACAGGTGCACACATTATAAGGTGTCAACTTATATAAATATTTCCCATTGTTGAATAGTTAATAAAATAGGCATATTTTGATTAGTTTCCTGAATAATTGAAAACAAATCATTATGTTTCTTGATTTTATTTCAAACAAAACTTAAAGGATCAACCTATTTTTGAGAAATGTTTTAGATTTATTTTTTAATACTTTATATCTAAGGTGATATTACTTTTTATGTCACTTAATTTCAAATGGAAATTTAACTATTAAAAATTCAATAAAAATTCAGAATATGTCATATTTCTTTTTAAAAAAAAAATTAAAAATTAAAGGACACGGTTTCTATGAGTCCTTTAGAAATGAGTGATTTCTTAAAAATTAATTTTTGAGATGGATTTTTGGATCCAACTTTTAAGGACATGAAATATCTAACATGGAGATCATAAATATGAATAAATAAATAAATTTTGAAAATAAAAAATAATAATTCTATTAAAAAAAAATTTAGACAGTTAATTTCAATTGTTTTTAGATGGACCTCCGATTTGCATCCATCTTAAATGGATGCTTTATACCTCAAAGACCTCAAATGTAGAAATGCAATCCTCGCTGCATGAAACAATTTTTCAAAATTAAATCATCTTTCACTTACTAAAAGAATTTCTGTAAAGAAATATAACTCCAATCAAATAAACGAGGGTAGCACAAAATCACCGGTCCTATGGGAACACTTCACTAGTCACAGTATAAAAGGTTGAGAGAGAGAGAGATTGATTGATTTATTTAAAAACTCGTCGGCCTCTAAAGCCATTGAAGTTCACATTCTTGTAAATCGATTTACATATAGGAAAAGTCTATATAGAGCTGGCTCTAAACAATCAAATTTGAACCTTCCAAAAAAATTATACTAGAAGGGGTTGTTTTGATTCTCAAATATCCTCAAATTGATCATCTCGACATCAAGATGCATGGATATAAGAAAAATATGGATTTCAAGTTTTGGAATAGTGTATTTTGTAACTCATTTTTAGACCATCAATTTTCAAGTTTTTCAAGTTTTCATAGATCTATCGATCTACATTATTTTAGAAGCTTTAGACTTTATAAATAAAGATGAACATATATTTTAGTAAACTATCCTATTATCCCTTATTTTTAACTTCTATATCTCATCAGATTTAAGAATTGAAAATATTACTTGTAAGTAAAATTACTCCATCCTTTTCGTCTTTCAACCCCCTAAACTATTTTGACCATGTAATATTAACCTCAACAACTTATGAAATGACTCTATATCTCTTTCTCTCTAAAACTCCATCTCTCTCGCATTTCATCATCTCTCTCTCAAAACTCCATCTCTCTCTCTCACATCATCATCTCTCTCTCTCAAAACTCCATCTCTCTCTAAAACCCAAACTCCATCTCTCTCTCACATCATCGTCTCTCTCTCTCAAAACTCCATCTCTCTCTCTTTCTCTAAAACTCCATGTCTCTCTAAAATCCAAACTTCATCTCTTTTTCACACATAAGGTGTGCTCATGTGCGAGCTTAAGCTAAACCCCTTGGCTGGTAAACTCAAAGAGAAGCGAAGAGAGAGAGATAGAGTTTGAATAGAGTGTCATTTCAGTGTTTGTTTGGGTAAAAAATGAATGGTTAAAGGGGTCCAGGGGTTGTAAGATAAAAAAGATAGGAAACATTTTGCTTACAAGTAATATTTTCAAATTTTGGGTCTCATAAGATATGGAAGTTAAAAATAGAGGATAAGGAGATATTTTACCTATATTTTAGGCTATCACAAATATTTTCAATATCGAAACCACATTTCTCGACACCATTTGAAGGTAGGCTCTGATTTGATTGTTTAGAGCCTAGGCTTTATACAAACCGCACCTTTTACATATTTACATAAATCGGGTGATTTTTTAAAATATTAGCTTCCTATAAATCAATTTTGACAATAAAGTGTAACATACGCTTTCATCTATGAATTGATTAAAAATTCACAAATTATTGTAAATCGACTTACTTGTTACTGTAAATAAGCTATTTTATTCATCTTGGGTGCGGTTTATAAAGAGCCGAGCTCTAAACAATCAAAGTAAAATCTTTCAGATTAGAGCCCACCTCAAAAATTTGGAAAAAATTTATATAGTGCCAAGGCTCTAAACAATTAAATTAAAGCCCACCTCAAAAATTTCACTAAAAGAGGTTGTTTTGATGCCCCAATATCCTCAAATTGATCATCTTGAGATTAAGATGCATGGACATGAGAAAAAAATGGATTTCAAGTTTCGGAAATAGTGCATCTTGGAAAGCATTTTTGGATCGCCAATTTCCAAGAATTTCAATCTCGATCTACATTGTTTTTGAAGCTTTAAATTTTATAATTAAAGATGGAAATATATTTTAAGACTATCACAAGCAGTGTTTTAAAAATCGGCGAGTCGAACTGGACTCGCTTGGTTCGACTCGGGAACCGACACAGCTCGTGCCTGTTCCAATACAAAACCGGGAACCGCCCGATTTTAGAGAAGAACCGTCGGTTCCAATCCGGTTTTGTTTGGTTCTACCCGGTTCCCTCCCTGCACGCGTGTAACACGCTCGTGCACGCGTGCAACACGTGTGAGGTTACCCCAATATTTTTATACAACATTTTAATTTATATTACATAGGTATTTATATACCAAGGTAGAATACTCATATTTCGATGTGGGATAATTCCCAAACATCATTAAATGAAAAGAGAATTTAAATATATTCTATTAATCATCAAGTTATAACCACATATGGTGAGGTGGCGTGGTCGTTAAGACCTTTGCTTCTTCATGCGATGTATCAAGGTCGAGTCCCCCCGTGGGTGTTATTTTTTTGTGTTGTATATATTGTATAAATATTTTTGTAAATAATATAAAAAGAATAAAAAAATGAAAAATATAAAAGTTAATTTTTTGTATACCAGTTAATTTTTGTTGTATATGGTGGTATAATTATTTTTTTAAATAATATGAAAGGCATAAAAAAATAAAACATAAAAAGGTTATTCTATTTGAAATCTCCATCTTTCTACTAACAATCTCTTTCACTAAATTTATTATAGAAACCTAAAAAAATAAATTTTTGAAAAATTGAAGTGTTATTTCCAAAATTTGTATACATTTTATTAATTTTTACATTGATAACCAATTTTTTTATTTTATTTATTAATTTTTACATTATAAATCATGTAATGTACTATTTTTCTTACATTTGTCAATAATACATTTTAAATTAGATAATATTATAAAATATTTAAAATTTGTTATTATTTGTCTAATAAAATAATTATAAAATGTAGACTAATAATTATAATTTCAGTATATAATATTATAATGAGTTAGGTTTTAATAATTTTGGATTATAGTTAGTTAGGTTGTAATAATTTGGATTCTTTTAACGGATTAGGGTTTTTCACCAAAACGAGATTTTAATGGCCATTCTTTCATTGATTAGTCTACTCTTTATAATAGTCCATGTATAATTATATATTTTATCTATGATAATTCTATTATTTTTCTTTTATGTGATGCAAATTTAATTGTTAACATAAGTTTATACAGGGAAAGAGCATCTCAATATTC